TCTATCTATCTATCTATCTATCTATCTATCTATCTATCTATCTATCTCTGTCATCTATCAATCTGTCTGTCTGTCTGTCTGTCTGTCTGTCTGTCTACCTATCATCTATATCAATCTATCTAATCTATCTAATCTATCTAATCTCAATCTCTCTCTCTCTCTCTCTCCCTCCCTCCCGGCCTCCCTCCTCCAGATCAGAGTCTGCCAGGCGTTTTTCCATGCCGGCACCTACCTTCTCACTGATGTAGCTGCTACGGACGTGGAAGTTGCCCAGCTCTTGGTGGTTGTCGTCTTGATTGTAGAGGTCTTTAAGTGTGTTGGGCTCCTTATGTTTGCAGAACTGAGGAGGGACAAGAGCCGTACAGGAAAAAGGTTGGGTATAAATCGATTAGTCGTCCTCGTTCTCATGGCTCTTCATTTTTTTTCTATTTAAGAACCTTTTCATTTTTTTTAAATTACATTTGTTTTTATTAAATTAAATGTATATGCTTCCCCTCTCGCCCCCTGGAGTAAGTCTAGGAGGCTTAAAACACATTATTTGGAGACTTTTACCTCAGATCTATTTTATCTTATTTATTTCATTTATTTCCTTATTCACGGGCCCAAAGTTTGAGCAGAGGCCGTCAACCTTAGCCACTTTAAGAGGTGTGGACTTCAACTCCCAGAATTCCTCAGCCAGCTATGTTTTAGGGCCACAACATGGCTGCCATGCTGTCTGGGGAATTCTGGGAGTTGAAATCCACAAGTCTTAAAGTGGCCAAGTTTGGAGACCCCTCCTTTAGGGCCACAACATGGCTTCCGTGGTGGCTGGGGGATTCTGGGAGTTGAAGTCCACCCATCTTAAACTTGCCAAGTTTGAAAAAAAACACTCTTCCACAGTGGCCAGAAACCCTTCACGCACAGCAAGGAGGCTCAGAACTTGAATTTTTGGTTGGTCAGAGACACCCAGAATCCTCCAGCCCAAAATCTGAAGATGCGCAGATAAGGGTCCGGTCTGTTTCTCTCTATCTCGGCCGGCTTCTGTGCAGCCAGGCCAGCCCCAGCAACGGAGCATGTGGCCCCAAAACCTCACCTGACGATAGAGACTCAACGCCACGGGCTGGTTCTGCAAAGCCATGAAGAAATCGCCCCGGCCGAGTTCGTCCTTCAAGCGCGAGATGACGGTGTAAACTGAGCAGGAAGAGGGGGGAAAAAAAGAAAGGAAAGGAGAATGTTTGCCAGCCTGCTCCATCCAGCCTCTCGGCTGGGGAAGATGGGGCCTGCAATTCGCAGCCGAGATAGCGGCTTTTAATTTGCTCTTGCGTTTCCCCTGGCAGGATATATTCTAGAGGAGGTTAGGGTGGGGAAAAAAATCCCTTTTTTTTTCTCCCCTCGCTGAGCTTGCCTTAGCATAAACTGCAGGGGCTTCAAAGGGAAAGCTTGCTAAAATGGCTGGATATTCTGTATTTTTATTGCGATTCATTCTTTCCCTCCCTCCCTCCCTCCCTTTCTCTCTCCCTACTTACCCTGATATCTCTCTATATCAATATCCATCTCAATATATAACTATCATCTATGTAAGTATCTAGGTATCCACCCACCCACCTTCATATCTATTGCAATATCTTTGTCTATATTTATCATCTCTCTCATCTATCTATTATTTATCTCTCATCTATCTATCTCTATCTTTCATCTATCTCTCTCATCTATATCTATATCTATATCTTATCTCTCATCTCTCATCTATCTCTATATATCTCTATATATCTCTATCCATCCATCCATCTATCTATCATCTACCTCTATATATCTATCTCTATCTATCTCTATCTATCCATCCATATGTCATCTATCTATCTATCTATCTATCTATCTATCTATCTATCTATCTATCTATCTATCTATCTATTTCTCATCTATTTCTTATCTATCTCACATCTATAATCTATGTCTGTCTGCTGTCTATCATCACTCTCTCACACACACACATATCTACCTACCTATCTCTCATCTCTCTCATTTCTCTCTCTG